AGGGTGCATGGAGCCGAGGAGCACGACGTAGGCGGGCATGGAGCCGAGGAGCATGACGCAGGCGGGCAGGCCGCGCAGGTGTGGCCTCGGGGTGCATGGAGCCGAAGAGCACGACGTAGGCGGGCATGGAGCCGAGGAGCACGACGCAGGCGGGCAGGCCGCGCAAGTGTGGCCTCGGGGTGCATGGAGCCGAGGGGCACGACGCAGGCGGGCTGGCCCAAGGAGCTACTTGTGCTGTTGTCCCTCCATGCCCATTCAACAGTGGCGGGAGCTGAAAACTTATGTGCTTGGTTTCCTCTTTGAGAGGGAGTTCGTTACTTTTGTCGCACGCTTTTAGACGTCGAGATCGAGGCATCAGGGCTCTGCTGCTTCCTTGCTCCGGAATCGCCACGTCAGGCCTTCATTATGGCGGGACGTCCTTTGGCATTCCTGACGTGACGTGACGGTTACACACGTGCGTGGGTGGGTTGTCACCCATTCTCGGGAGGTGAAGGGGCACTAGTTCTGGCGGGATATCTTCCTTAAATAGCGAGCATCCGGCTTCGTTCCCATCTCTTGCTGCTGAGTCCTCTTCTTCGGGTCTTGCCGTCTTCTTTCCAGTCGTTCTCCTCGCCTCCTACGTCGCCTTACTTTTCCCAGTAGTCCCTTCCCATTAAGGTCAGTGAGGATGACGTCCTCTTCTTCCTCCTCTTCCCACGGAGCTAGGGAGAGATGTCCTCCACCGTCTCCCGTTCAATCCTCCGATGGGGAAGTGGCGCGGCGGGCCCTTGAGGCCTTGATGTGGTCGCACGACCTGGACTCCACCGTGAGCGGGTCATCGCTGAGGGGACTCCGGGAACGCTATAGTATCCCGGAGGACTATATCCTCAACGCGCCAGAACCGGGACAGCGGGCCTATGACCCGGTTCCGAAGGGTTTCGCGTTAACCCTAGACGCCCTGGAGGCGGGTCTGCGCTTTCCCCTTCACCCCCTCATTGTCTCTTGCATCTCTCTCTGGCAGATCTCGCCATCCCAGGTGGCGCTGAACTCTTGCCGCTACCTAGTGGCGTTCCTAGAGGAATGCCACTACGCCAACATCACTCTCGCACTTAACCTGTTCCTGTCCTGCTACAGTCTTTCCAAAGGGGTGGGGGGTTACTTCTTGTCTGCCCGAGCAGGCTTTCGAGTCGAGGGAGCCCCTTCCAACAACAAAGGATGGAAGGGGAGGTTTTCCTATGTTAGTTGCGCGAGGGACTGGGGTTTTGGGGTCCGGTGGTCTGCGAGGGTGATCAATAACACTGCCCCGAGCCTGAGCGACGAAGAACGCCGGGATCTGGGGAGGCTCAGGGAGGTTCTCCCCAGCTCCCAGGCCATCCGGAACATGACCGAGCGATGGCTAGCCGAGGCTGGTCTCAGTCCGATGCCTCGGGGTATGTTAGTAGCACCCGGTCCGGCTACTCCGTGGTTCACCTCTGGTTTTTACTTTTGTCTTGCTTTTGCAGAAATGGTGAACCTCCGGTCACTTCTGAGAGGTCGGGTGTCGCCCGCCTCTTCTCCAATTCCGTCAGCTGACCCGAAGCCCGACTCGAAGGATGCACCGTTAGAGGTCGAGGCCGGGCGCCCTCTGAAGAAGGCGAAGATAGCACCCTCAAAGGGGGCTGAAGCAGGCCCTGTCCGAGCTGCAGCGGGTCCTAGTAGGGAGGCGACAAGGAAAGATTCGCGCCCTCCATCCGTGTGCGATCTGTGTCGACTGCCCGTGGGCGATGAGCCATTCTTCTCGCGGGTGGTGGGCGAGATCCCGACGGGGGAGGGAAGCGACCCCCTAGTCGCCCGCTGGGGGGGTTTGTCCCGAGGGGACAAAGTGTGGGCCGATGGCGATCCCTCGGCTGCATTTCTCCGGGGTGTTCTTCATCCCGACATGGCTCGGGACTTATACACCCTGCCCTCGGAGGCTCTGCTTGGCAAGTCCGCCATGTCTCTAACCTGGGTAAGTGCTATGCTTGCCACCTTAGGTTATTCATCCGATGCGGTAGGAAGGTCGACTAACAAGAAGGTTGTCATCACCATCTTCGTCCTTGGTGCTTCCCCGAGGGTCAAGGGCAGGATGGTCGCACCCAGTGGCGAAATTGATTCGCCGGTGAATCCGGTGAGCGCTGAGTTCATGGGCACCAGGGCGTCGCGGGAGAGCCCGAGCTTCCGGAATGCGTCCAGATAAAGGATGTCGGCCGAGCTCCCCGTGTCGACCATGATCTTTTTTACTTGGGCGTTGGCGATTCTGGCAGACACCACCAACGCGTCATCGTGTTCAGGCGGTTCGGCTCTCTTAACTGGAAACGTGACCTCGGGCGCCGGCCCGCTTCCGGGGTCCTCGAGTGTTGGGGCGCGGGCGTATGCTTTCCGCCCAATCATACTATTTCCCCCATTCGCCGGGCCGCCCGTGATCACATCAATCTACCTTTCGACGGGGCCCTCAGTCCGTGGGGAAAGCTCCTTATTTTGCCATAGGTAGTGGCCAAGATGCCCCCTTCGAATCAGCTCCTCGATCTGTCGCTTTAGCTCACAACACTCTTCCGTATCATGCCCGTTCTGTCGATGGAAGCGGCAATATCTCGTTTTGTCCGCGAGCTCTCGGGGGTTCCTCATCGGGGTGGGGGTTTTGAGCAGCCCCTTCCCCTTTATCTGGAGGAATATCTGAGTTCGGGATGTTCCCAAAGCGGGGGAGGGCGACCTCCGTACGGTTGGGTCGGATCGGTCTGATCTGTGTTTCGGCGGACCAGGTAGCTGCACAGTCGGTTCCGCCCGGGGCCTTTTATTCTCCTCACGTCTCCCGGACATCCAGGCTTCAGCCGTGACATAGTGATTGGCTCGCTGGAGCATTTCTAAGACGGCGGTGGTAGGTCATTCCATGAGGGACCAAAAGAACCTAGAGGGACGAAGACCCGCCATAAATGCCTGCATCAATAAAGAGGGGTGAGCACCTGATAAACCTCGGATTTCAGTGGTGAATCGGTTCACAAAACGAGAGAGAGGTTCGTCCTCCTTTTGGTTCAGTCCGAGGAGCAGGGCGATGGATGACTTTGGTCGAGCCAAAGCCAAGAAGTTGAGCTTGAACTCCTCGGTGAGCTGGTTGAAGGAGGTGATTCCCTCGGTCTTCAAACCGCTATACTAAGCGCGGGCCGAGCCTCTCAGGGTCGTAGGAAACGCCCTGCACATCAGAGCGTCAAAGGTTCCGTACAGCGCCATCTGAGCCCGAAAGGCAGCCACGTGGTCGGCGGGGTCGGTGGTGCCGTCATAGGCGTCCAGGGAGGGGAGTCGAAAGCTTGTGGGCACCGACTGATCCTATATTTCGACCGCGAACGATGACCCCCGGCGCGCCTCGTCCCCAGGCTCCCCCTTTGAGGTTCGGACCTCTCTCTGTATTTCTTCGAGTCATTGACTAAGAAAGTGCAGCTGGGCCCAGAGAGAGCCCGCTGACTCAGTAGGCATCGGCTCATGCTCGGGTCGACCGGGAGGGTTTCCCCCCGCCTGATTTCCCAGGGGAAACACCCAGGCCTGGGGTGAGCCGGCGGGTGCCGAGGTAGTCGTGTGAACAGGTGCAGATGGGTCCAACCGACGCATAGGCTGGGCCACCGATGGGTTTGTCGTATGGGAAACGAGTGGGATTACCGTCTGCACCATTCCTGCCAAGGCCCGGACTTGAAGGGCGAGGTCCTGGAAGGCTTTAGATGACACGGGCGAGGGAACACTCGGAGCGCCCTCGGGGGGAAGTAGGCCCGGGTCGTTGAACAAACGCCAATAGCATTCTGAGGTCGTGGCGGGATCGTCCGCCCGTGGCTCATTACGCGAGGGGCGCTCGGTCGATGCCCTTGTTAAGAACGATCCCTCGGCTGGGGCTTCGTCGGGGTTGATCAGGGGATCCCTCGACATTCGGGCCCTCCTTCTAGCGTCAATCTGTTGGTGTAAACAACTTCGTGCCATGGCCTCGGGGCCGACACGGCTTGTTTTGGGGCCGAATGGCAGGGTTCTTTGCTCAAGGTCTCTCGGAGTAGCTGAAGTGGCCGACCGTGCGGATCAGATCACGTCTGGGTTCATCGGGATGCCCCGTGGGGAAGGCTTCCTCTCCTTGGCGTCCCGGGGAGATAGCTTCGTCTTCCTACTTGCATATAAGTCGGGTCGGAAGCTCGGCCCGACCCCTCCGACGATCAAGTTAGTGATGTGGAATGGAGTGGTTCCTTCGCCCCCCCCCCCTCGCCCTTCTCAGGGGCGGGGTTTTTATAGGGCGATTTACCGTGTCTGATGCGACCGCTTGCATAGGGCGGGTTGCGTCTGACACTGGTGTTGGCGTGGCGTGAAGAACAGAGTCTGAACAGGTTGTTAATGGGCTTTGATCTGCGTTCTGGTTCATTTGACTAGGTTCCACCGGATCGTTTGAGGTATGAGGTGTCGTCCGGGACAGCTGACGTCTGCGCGGGTCTTATCACCGTTAAACGGAAGGTGATGTTAGTGAGACTTTGGAGGCATCACTCACTGTTCAGCACGCTGTTGTAATTTACATTGTTTAGTTAGAGGTTCACTGCTTATGTTTCTCTGTGTTTGAGAAACATAAGCAGTGTTTATCATTTCTGCAAAGCTGCCATGGATGGTGACATCAATGCTTATGTTTGCCTACGTGCTTAGGCTGCCTCATTTCTTCGTGCCTGATGTCGCTGTGGGATTCTGTGATATAAAGATTCTAGCAGTACTGTAAGGTTTCAAGATGTTGATGGCTCTTCTAACTAAGATAACATTTTGCTGATTAAGAAATCATTATGCAGCAATTATCAAAACTTGATAGACATAATTGTGTTTGAGAATATATATATGTCCATATAAGCAAGTAATCCAAGAACGAAGACATATATTTTCAACTTCTTAAAGCAGCTTCGAGACCATTATGTTTGCTACAAATTGCCAATACATCCTTATTACAGAACCAATGAATTAAACAACAGCATCGACCTGTACCGAAGGAATGGGGGAGACATGACATTGCAGCTCCTAATGGCAGATCAAATTGATCCCAGTTTTACCATCCGAATGATCTACTTCTGGCGGTCGGCAATATAATTCGCTAGGTGTAGCAAAGGCGCCGCCTTTATTGGATCAAATCCGGCAAGCTGCTCCTTGGAGTCCTTCAGCAGCTCCTCGGCGAACTCCCTTGACTTCTCCAAACCCAACAGCTTTGGATACGTCGTCTTATCGCTGGCCAGATCCTTCCCTGCCGTCTTTCCCAGCTCCTCCGACGATTTAGTCACGTCGAGGATGTCATCAACAACCTGGAACAGTAGCCCAATGCACCTAGCGTAATTTCTCAGCTGCTCAATCTGGTGATCGGAGGCACCACCCACGATGGCGCCGATGACCACCGAAGCCTCCAAAAGAGCAGCGGTCTTGTGGAGGTGGATAAACTCAAGCTGATCGAGGCTAACGTGAGATCCGAGCCCAGTGGCCTCCATGTCAGCCACTTGGCCCGCGACGAGTCCCCCGGCACCGGCGCAGCGTGCAAGCTCACTTACAGCACGGACGATCCGGTCAGGAGGCACGGATCCGTCGGCAGGGTAGGATGCCGGGTCTGCCAGGTGGCCGAAAGCAAGGAAAGGGAGGGCGTCGCCGGCTAGGAGGGCGATGGGCTCGTCGAAGGCGCGGTGGCAGGAAGGTCGGCCGCGGCGGAAGTCGTCGTCGTCCATGATGGGGAGGTCGTCGTGGATGAGGGACATGGTGTGGATCATCTCGACGGCAACGGCAGCGGGCATCGCGCAGGCGTCCCGGCCGCCAGAAACCTCACAGGCGGCCAGGCAAAGGACGGGGCGGACGCGCTTGCCGCCGGCGAGGAGGGAGTAGCGCATCGCCTCGTAGAACCGCTCCGGGTGCACGAGCGGCACGGCCTCATCAAGGGCGCTGTTGACGGCCGCCGCCTTCCGGAGCATGTAGCCCTTGAAATCGAAAGCCTCGGCCTCCGCCGGTGCCGGTTCCGCGGCGGGGGACGGGCAGGTGTCAACCTCCATCACGCAGGGCGGTCGCGGGAGGCGGCGTTGGGCGGAGGCGAACGTGGCGGGTCGCGTCCTTAGGGCCGCCGTCGCCGTCCGCAAAGGGGGAGGAAAGCGGAAGGTGGTGGAGGAGTAGGATGAGCGGGAGGAGATGTCGGTCCTCGGGCCCACATCGGTGCAGCAGATACAAGCGGCCAGCGATGCCATCACTTGTATATATAGACTTACAAGACAAATCTCTCTCTCTCTCTCTCCTCTCTCTCTCTCTTTCTCCTTTAGCCTCCTTTCTTCTCGTATGAGAATGAAGAGGAAGTGGAGTAGAACGAGGAGAGGATCTCTCTCTCTCTCTCTCCCCTTCAGCCTCCCCCTTCTCGTATGAGAATGACGAGGAACATGTATCTATGTATACATATATAGAGGGGACGAGGAGGATGGGAGGGAAGAGAGGAGATGTTAATGTTGGAGAAGCGAAGATTTTGGTTCGCTACCGAGTACATGGGGGAAAAACAAAGGAGCCAATGAATGGGGAAGAAGACCAGCCTGGGGGGGTAATGGACAATTATGGTTGGTGATTAGATCAGAAGGGATATGGTGATCCCAGCAGCAGCTGCATCTGTTGCTGTATCTTCTTGCGGACCTACTGATGCAAGCGTGTAAGAAGCAAAGTCGCCAACGAACAGATGGAGGACGGCGGTGTGGGATCCGATCAACCCGCGAACTCGGGGAGAGGGTATCGGTCTTGTGCTGTCATTGAGATGCGTGCGGAAACTTGATCGTTACATGTTAAGATTAGGACGTGGAGCGATCTTCCGTCGTTTGGGTCAATTCATTATTGCCAATGAATGAAGCCTCTGCTCTTGCAAAGTGTCATCAGATAAGTCATCCTAATAACTCATAAATGAAATCCAAAAGAATCATCCTAATTCATCATGACAAGTCATCCTAATAACTCATAAAATCCTAATTCTTTTGTTGCCATCGTTTCATTGGCAAAAGGGCTATTTCTTCATAGATCATAGCATGTCAAAATATGCTGCTAAAGAACACCTTGATCATGAGGAAAAACTGTGGTTGACTCTACTAAACTAGCTTAAATTAAATTTGGATACCAATCAATCGAATATCAAAATAATTTTAATAGAAAAGTAAGTAGTAAGTTGGATCTGAATTCAAACACTACGATTGCTAGTCGGATTGGATATCATATTTGTTGTCACTTTAATATTAAAAATAATTATTTACCAAATTCAAGTGAGAGAATTTATTTTTAAATCGGTTTAGATATCTACTGTAGTTAAAATAATAGACACTTTTTCATTGTTACTCTATCTTTATTCAAATTACATATCATTATTTTTTATTTTTATTCTTTTCAATGAACTAAATTCATTTGTAAGTAATAGCTATTAGCTTTTGATGCATTAACAATATCGGCTAACCAAATCACGTTAAAATAACATTTAAAAGAAATATTCACTTATTTAAGTACTTAATCTTTCATAATCTAATATTATTATAGAATGAATGTCTTTTGAACAAAAGATTCTTCTAACATGTTTTTATTATCGACTCTCAGAACTCATGAACTTTTGAACTCTTCTTATATTTTTTTTTATCATTTATAAACAAATACTCGAGTATACTCCTAATATAAATTTTACATAAAATATTCAAACGAAAATTAGATAATAGAACCTTTTTTGGAGCATGAGAGAATTCGACTCCGTAGGTGAACATCTTGATTAATAATTTGTATCTCACTTTACTCAAAACATACTTCTTTCTAATTTTAAACATGATAAGATTTAAAAAAATAAATTAAGGTGAGTCACTGTTACCATCTACGATCAAGAATGACACTAATAATTCGTAATGCAATGATAGAGAATTAGATAGTGAAAAAATAAACAAGTATTTGACGATGGACAATACGATGATCATCACCTAACAAGCAAGTCTTATGAAAGATTGAAGTTGAAGTGAATAGCGATACTTCATAACATATATAATGACGGATCAGAATACATTAAAATGCTTCTGTAATCATTGAATTATGGCTATTTGTTGTACTAGTTGTTATTTCAATCTGGTTGGCACCCTGATGGAGCAGTTGAAGTCAGTGTGAACTGTTGAAAGCAACATGATGCCTTCCCCATCTTGTTGACTATCTATCTATTTATTCATTGAGTAAGAAAGCAAGGTAAGAGGTGGAAGCTACAAAATTTCTATCCCAAGAAAAGGGAGAATGGTGGTTCTAACAATGTAAGCTAGGCTGTGAGGTAGGTAGGTATTCAGTAATTATTTCTGGAAATGTGAAGCCCGTCAACACCTTAATAAAATTGGCAGGATGAAAGACATTTTCACAAAAATTCTGCATCCACCAAGGAGCATCAAAATGGCAGGATAGCCTCCGGCGGCGACAATGTTCCCTGAGGTAGACCGGAAGACATAGCCAGTTTCTACAATATCAGACTTGGGAGAAAAGGTGCCATCACATTCCAAGGCAAGGTCAAAATTGAAAGGAAGTGTCTTTGGTAGAATACACTGCTCTCGTTTGACCAAATCTTAGATGATGTGAACAAGATAATATCTGGGATATGGATTCTGCTCTCGTTTGACCAAATCTGATGTCTGCAATCCAAACAAAGACTACGTTGTTCTAAGTAAACATAGCAGAGTTTTGTATTGAGGTATTGCCTGTTATGGAATCAATTCATAGACTCCTAACGCATGCTTCCATAGTCAATTCTTGCATGTCTGAATTGCCTTTTCTGTTGTTAAAAATTATTAGTCTCCTGATGTCTTTTCAGATGTTAGATGTGACGAAGCCATGTTGCCAATTCTTGTTTGGTACATCAATCTCCTTAATTTCCATAGCAAGCCATGTACACACATTATAAATCATTGCAAGAAGCCAAAGATGAACATTTCAGGAACTCGGGGTAAAAAAACACACAGGAAAGTTCTTTAAATCCATATGAGCTTTAAATAAAAGACAACAGAAATCTCAAAGTTTTAGTTAACATTTAAAGTATGCAGAATTAAACTTCAGTTATATACTGTAACTTATGGGAGTTACAGCATCTTGAATCAATTGGAGATTAATCATGCAGCTCTGTGAGTCAATATTGGCATCATGGATCAAGTAGGGTGTCCTACAATAATACCAGAAGATAGAACTGCAGGACACAAGTTTCAGATAAGTGTATCAATCTACAACATTGGATCAACCAAAAAAGTTACAAGCTACAGACCCCCTCAAAAAGTGTAGTGTTTCACTCACGAGGTAGGAATTTAGGTGAAAGCATCCAAGTTGGAAGTGTTCCATGGAGACCTCGGGGAAAACGCTGTCATAGAACTCTTCAAACAAGAGAACATATCAAGAAATAGCTAGTTCGTATAGTATACTAGGAGCACAACTTACACCACACCAAGTTGTGTCCTAAAAGAAACTAACCCATGAATCTTAGAAATTGCAGTTTTCCAGGGACAATATTGCAAGAAGAAGATTGACTAGTACCGTGAACCATCAGGAAAAGGGTCTAGCGCATCTTGCTTCCCGTTCACAAAGAAGTCGACAACAGCTTTCATTCTAGCAAACTTTTCTGGATGGTAATTCACGTGAACGATCACAGGTTTTAACCGGCGCAAATGGGCATCTTTTCTCACAGTCTTAAAGAGAACCTTGCTGTTCATAAAGAGATACATGTCCATGGTCCTCTTGGAAGCATGAAGGCCCTCATACCCTGGATGTGAAGGAAAAAAGAGCTCTTCGTTAAAAACTGCTTGGTCCCATGACTTCTGTCGTGCCAACCGGTCCGCCACACGATCCAAAAGCTCAATAGAGGGAAACGTGGGTCTTATGTAGAAAAATCCAGAGTTATAAACCCAGATCCGCATTGTATGAGCATATCTTGCCCAACCCATCGAAGGCTCATCAAAGACATCATCATAACCATAGGCTGTCATGTTATTGTGACCGTCACTCATTGACTCCACATCAGAATCCCTGTAGAGATGATCGAATGGGTTCTGCAAGTAGATTATATCGACATCTGAAAGAAGAACACTGTACCCAAGCTGTAAAAATTCTCTCAAGATGCGGAATTTCAATCCAGAGACAGCATGATTTCCACCACTCCTTCCAATGCTATCAATACCTTCATCAGGATTTCTTCGATAAACAGGAACTTTGCTTGAGTTGCAAAATCTTTCTATCTCATCATCCAAAGCTACTACTAGATAGTTGGGTATACCCACTCTTTGAATATTCTGGAACCACAACTCCAACATATCCTTGACATTGGAATTTGCTAGTGCAACTATAAGCTCCTTCCTAACAGCTACCTTTTCCAGAATCTTTGCCAACCTAGGGTTCACAGATTCATCAAGAACTACAGTCGGATTTGTTCTCAGGGACTTGACAGTACCAAAAGGGCCAGCTTTACGCCGCTCTCCTAGAGCTACAAACTGGTTCTGAGCCTGATCTTTACCCTGCTCAGCCAATTTAAGTTTTGTCGTCAGCTCCATGACCTGTTTCTTCAAATCTTCATTCTTCTGTGAGAGCGATGCCAACTCAGATTTCAACACGTTTGTCCTCTCAGATGTTTCGCATTTTGCTGAGTTACCCTAGACAAATAAAAGGAAAATAACATAGGTATACAATACAAGTAGTGATCAATCTAAACTGCCCCAACAGGATGACAATAGAATAAATCCTTTGCTCATAGCTTCGTTTGAATTTGGAAAGTCAAAACTTATCTCATTTTGTTGTTTACATGATAAAACTACCAATCTTTGTTTTATAATCTATTGCTTGGAACCACTGGCTCAATCTTAAAATATCTACACAACTGAACTTGGTCATGAAAAGAAAAAAAATGATAGACTACATCAGAGTTTATAATTAGATACTGATGATGGAGAAGAATAGAGCAGATAATCTAAACAGATATACGATAGGAAAATCCAACAAAGTCCAGCAACCCTGTATGATGGATGAAATGCTAAAATGTTAATAAATTCAAGTACAAACACCAGTAATTGTATGAATAGGTAAAAGAATCAAGCTGTACTTTTCCCAAAATGTGCCTAAAATTTGGCGATTTAAGCTTCAGTTATCAGAAGTACCTATGAGCATCATGTTTGGTTATAGACCTTTCCATGTTCCAAACACAGAAAGGCCTGCAATTTGTGGTCAGGTTGGT